AATTCTTTGTAACCTGGGCGACGACTGAACCGACGTAATGTTCGATAACGGCAATACGATGAGAGATCGGTGGCTTCGCTTTTCGGAGATGGCATGATCTCCAACTCTGCTCTTTTCTCATCTGTGCTTGGGACCGGCAACGACGGAGTTCATCGCAGAGGTATCACAAAAAGTGAATACTAGAAATTCAAAGTACGAAAGCATGGTTCATTCACGGAAAGCCTTCCATTATTATATAAGATGGTGCATTAAATGAAATAGTTGACGCATATATCCGCTGTCCAGCTATACAGATTAGAATTGGCGATCGAAGCACGGAGCAATCACAGCAACCGTGTCTAAAACAGCTGCTCCGAAACCTGGCTGGCCCATTGCGTTCTAGATGTCCAGGCAGACATTTCGGAGTTTCACGGCTCCACGATGTTTGAGCAACCGCAGTGCAAGGATGAAATAGCGGATCATTGAATTTTGCACCTCAAGCAGGATTCATGCACCGACTGGGATTCAGGATTATGTTCGAGCAAAATAGATGCTATTAGCGCTACACATAAACATAGTGAAATAGTTACAGTTCTATTATTTTCAAGTAGAAACTGTTCAAAACACTTGTCTTACAGACATCGCTTTCAGACCACAGACATTAGAAGAAATTGTAGATTGTCTCTCCATTATTATGCAACAAAGCTTTAATAGCAAGGTTTTCCAATCTGTTGTCTCAAATCTGAAAAACAGCATGATTTGCTATCGTGAAAAAATCACATTTCTCGTCGCAAGCAGGCCTTCTTCAGCGAATAGTTTCAATGCTTTTTATTGTCCTGAAAGTCTTCTGCACCAGTGGACGACTGACACCAGAAACTTGCTGATTGCAAATGATCCCGTTTTGTTCACATCTTTTGAAGTTGTCGAGTGAGACGAGGCGCGCATTCGCTTGAACGTATCTAAAACGAAAATGCTAGTGCTTCCTTGTTCTCATGATCGCTGTTCTCTTCAGATAAACAGAGAAGCAGTGAATCATGTGAAAAAATTTACGAACCTCGGTGACGCGTTGACTGGTGATTGAAGATATTAGGAAGAGCGACCGGAGAATTTGAATAGCCGTCGGCTTTCATGTGAACTAGCCTGGGCCACTGCTACCAAAGCAGAGCTGAGTCTTAAGGTTAAACTGTTTTGTTCAAGTCGATCTTCATCCCCATTCCCACCCTATGACTGTGATTTTTGGGCCATAACTGAATAACTTCAATCTAAAGTACAAGCGGTTTAAATAAGCGTTCTGGAACAAATCGCCGGGCACACGCATCTCGAAATGGCCCTGAGCTGAGATATCCGAGAAAATTTTGGTGAAGAGTCGTTGCCTCTGCAGACTAACAGTTTATAGCTGCAACGGTTTGGGCGCC